GTGTGGGGGCGTGACAACCAGGGGGCCACCGCGACCATGGAAGACACCTAATAATAATAATAATAATAATACAGTAATAGTAATAATAATAATAATAATAATAATAATAATAATAATTATAATAATAATAATACAGTAATAATAATAAGTCACCACATCTCTCCGTTAAACCTTCCAGTCGTAATGTTTTGCCTCGTGTTCTTTACTATGTCAATGCTTTTTGTGTATTTGTTAATGTGGTGTTTTTGTTTGTGTTTCTTGTTTGAATTTTGGACAAGTGTTTTTTTTTATCTCAAACAACAGCTTTTGTCGTTTTTTGTGTATTTACCAACCCACTCGTAACCCATGTGTGTTAGTTCACTTACATGTTTATAAGTTCACTTTAAATCTTCATATGCCACTTAAAACTGCGTTACTATTTGTATAACTTTACAATAATCACTATTACCATTTCATCTAAAATTGTCACACCTCAATTGACACTTTCTTTCCATTTCACCTGCTTCTCTTACAGTTCACCTAAGGTAACCCAAGCTAACATAACCTAGCCTGTCCTAACTAAACCTAATCAGACCTAACCCAACATAACCCCTTCCTCACACACAGTCCTCTTGTCTCACCACCACTACTAGGACCACAATAGATCAATATACTCACCACCATCATGACTCAAGTCTCCGCGATAATCCTCCGCCTTCTTGAAATACGGGAGAACGGAGCGGAAGTCCCAGCCCGTGTTGCCCAGAGCGGCCCAATAGTCGTAGTCCCGACGGTTGCCACGAGAGTACAGCATCCCGTTGATTGATGATGATCCCCCTAGCGTCCGCCCCTGGGGTAACCTGCCTCTCTGGTAGTAGTGAATGCATGTAGTAGTAATACGCTGTAATAAAACCAATGCCGCCCACGCTCACATACCACCCACACCACGAGGACCATTAGTGCTCATCTGGGCATGGGGATGGGTGGGTGGTTTTGAGCGTGGGCGGCTCTGGCAGAGAAATGTGAAGTGGATCAGTAAGCAGTGTGTTCCATAGACCTGTCTGGGGTGAAGTGGATGATCTATAGGGTGGCGCATAAGTCGCTTGTATCATCTGTAGATTAGTTATTTAGATACTCCAGCTTATTTCACCTGATTACTAAATAGATTAACATAGGTTACGATACGTTGTGTTAGATTGTTAGGTTAGGTTACATTAGGTAAGTTAGGTTTGTGCTTGGGTGATTAATCTTCAGGTGAAATACACTGAGGTGCTTATCTTCATGCGATTCCTTTCAAGTAACACAACTAATTGATACTAAAGTTTATCAAGATAAAGTGTAATAAATTAATGGACATCGTTATTTTCCTTTAGCGAAATAAATGGCAAAAAGACCGTAATTATGTCCGTTATGGCTCCAGGCCGTTTTAGTAGACTCTTCATTAATATCGTTGACGTGTTATTTATTTAAGCTGCTTACCTGTATTCTGGAGGAAGGCATTAGTCGTGCTTGACAAGACCTTCATCTAATTTGGGGTCAGTTATCATCACTGAGCGCGTCATTCAAGCTTTGTAACTGTACACATCTTAGTCTGCCCCATTCTCGTCCAGTCGCCTCGCAAAGTCAACTTGTTTGTCAATACAGTTAGTAACTTAAGGTAGTTCTCGGCTGCATGCAGTTTCTGATTACTCCTCATTTAACCCAATATATTGTAAGTTAACAACCTGTCAGCTTAGTTATTTTATATCTCAAAATCTAGGCTCACCTCAAAGAATGTATATTATGTACATATATACGTTTCGTCGAATATCATCACCGGGTAAATAACTTAATAGTCCAGTAGTAGCATTATTATTATTATTATTATTATTATTATTATTAGTAGTAGTAGTAGTAGTAGTAGTAGTAGTAGTAGTAGTAGCAGTAGCAGCATCATGACCATTATTTCAATACATAGTACTGTTTTTATTATATTATAAGAAAAGTAATTTAGGAGGCATTATCTTTAAAACTGATACAATTGTTTTAGTTGGGGATAAAGAGTTGAAAGAGAATGGTTGGTAATCAAAGAAAGTAATATTTTTAACGGGTAGACTACAGTATAATAAATGCTTCAAAACTCTTCTGCGTGTTGAATAACATCGAAAAGCTCCAGTGCCTTGTAAATGCATTGCAGTTGTGAACCTATTTATATTATTCGGTATTACGATAGGCCTAATTAATTATTTAATTTCTAGTGACAGTAGGCCTATATTTTTATTCAGATTCACATTTGTCTCCACGCAGCTCGGAGGCTAGTTTATTGGGCACCCCTACATCCTGTACAAGGCGAAGCTCAGAATGATTACAGAACCCAACAGGGAAGCATCCGGAGTTGATGCTGGCCTTCTTAGACTTTGTTGATGGGTGGTAGTGTGTTCATGAGAGGCCACTGGTTGATTTAGCAAGTTATCTGTAGTGAAGGAAGGCTAAGTGGACATATTTTCTTCAACTACCGTTTTATTTACATTATTGCTTCATTTTACCAGAAATCCAGCACAATCGACCTCTTAAACAAACTATGCCCTTAGATTAAATTAAAGGAAAATTAGGCCATAAGCATCCAATGCCTGTGTTTGCCGTCCTCGGTCGAATAGCCATACTATTTATCCTTATTTTTACACCTGCACTGTCTGTGTATTTTTGTGTACCTGTATTGTTTCTTAGGTATATTGTGTACAATGAAAGACAAAAGTCGTATCGTGGTTTTGTCCGAAGATTAAATATAACTCGTGAAGCATTATGAGAGCTCCCTAACACAAGGCAGAGCGCACCAAAAGTTTAGCCCTTCGGCATATGTTTTCACCAAATTTCACGACACGACTTTTGTCTTTCATTGTACCTGCACTGCCTATCCTACACCCATGTTGAATCATTGTAAACTAGTATGGCGGTATGAATGAATACAACTAAATTGAACTGAATGGCTAGTCAGTTGAGTGTTGTTCCTTTGTATAACGCGCTGAGAAAAATACTGACCGGCCAAATCCTTTAATTTTTTGGGGAGAGGGGAACAACCACAAAGATCAACTTACCCTGCCGACGAAGCTACGGAGGCCGTGTTTCTGGGGGGCAGTGGTGTAGTCCCAGTTATGGTTGCCAGGGAGGAAGAAGAGGAAGCTGAGGCCAGGGATGTAGGACTCCGGGGGTGGGGGTCCTCCAGCCTCCAGCAGTAACACCTTCCAGCTCCCTATCTCTGACAGCCTGGTAGCCATCACACTGCCTGCCGACCCACCACCGACTGTGGAGGACATACTAGGCTGGAGTTAAGCGACTGTGTTTAGTGACTATGTTGGTATGTGAGAGTGCATGTTGTGTGTGTGTGAGCGACCCTATGTGTGTGAAAGAGATTGTAATAATAATACTAATAATTAACGGTTTATTAAGAAAACATTGCAGCCTGAAGGCTGAAAATATACAATGAACAGAGATGATAAGTTACATATGGTGAAATCGGGGAGTGGGTCACTTGATTGACAAAAGCTTTCAGTACAGAAACATAAGAGTCAACATATAGATTAACTTTAGATCTGGTACTATGGGAGCTGGTCTGTAGACATTCTTGTGACCTGATGTCGGCGCCAACAAGTCCTTCCCACTGTCTTGATGGCCGTTGTACCTGACTGCTAAGCCGCTACCTCACTACAGCTGCAGATGTAGAGATAGGGGAGGGATCCCGATAGTATGTGGTGTCTTGCCTAGAAGAGGGGTTGGTCGTGAATGGCTGTCCAGGGCAATTGCTATAAATTGCCGACTGGAAAAACATTGTGCAAACAGTGGTTGGGCATTCATTGATAGCTGGCAACGACTACCTGTACAGTCGTGACGGAGTACACTTGTCTCGTGCGGGGGTAAAGACGTTGTCTGCATCCCTGGAGCGTGAAATTGTCACTCCAAAGTGGGGGGGTTCGCCAGTAGAGAGAGGTCGGGGAAAGTGGGAGTCAAAAAGCAAGCAGGTCCTGGGAAGTAAAATTAGTTACTCAGGACAAGGGGTAAAACAGGACCAGGGAAGGGTAGGTTTAAATGTATACTATACAAACAGTAGGAGCGTTAGAAATAAAATAGACTTGCTGAGAGCGGTTGTATGTACCGAGAATGTAGACGTCATAGCAATCACCGAAACTTGGATGAATCTGGCGAGCAAAATTTTTTTATCAGAGTACCACATAGAAGGGTACAACCTTTTTCACAAGGACAGGGAAGGTAGGAAGGGGGGAGGGGTCGCACTCTTCGTCAAGGATACATTAAAATGTTGTATTAATAATTCAATAAAGGGTGAAATAGAAACCGAGTCTGTATGGGTAGAAATCACGGAGGGAAGAGAAAAACTAATTATGGGAGTGATTTACAGGCCCCCAAGTGACAATAATAGACCTAGTATTAACAAAGGAAGAAAATATTATCAGAGATATCACAGAGTTACAACCACTCTCTCTCATCCATGAATCTATCCAGCCTCCTTTTAAAACTTTCCAGCATTCCAGCACTTATACAAAGTTGCTAAGCTTGTTCCACTCGTCCACCACTCTATTTGTGAACCAGTTCCTTCCTATCTCCCTCCTAAACCTAAACTTATCCAAATTAAATCCGTTGCTACGAGTCTTATCCTGCTCGGATATTATAAGAACTTTATCTGTATCTCCTTTATTGATTCCTTTCACCCACTTAAATACTTCTTTCGTATCTCCCCGCACGAATCCAGGAAAAAAAGTCACAGAAAAAAAGAGAGCAAAGGTTGTTTCCACCATCTTACACAGTCCACTTGGCGTAAGATCCAGGAAGTGGGTTTGAGTACACAGTATAATGTTAATGTCTGGTTTCGTTTGTTTTGTGGCATGATTGATGCACTAGCTTTTTTGCCCTTGGAAGACGTTGATGAGGGTATGAAATACCTCAAAACTGTCACTCCACAAGATCCACCTGAAGCCGAGGAGTTGCTCAGGTATTTTGATCGTACATATGTTAGTGGCTCCTTTCAGCAGCCAGTTGCCATGCCCAGTGATGCCCTGATGCCTCTGAGAATGCGTCACACCTCACCTATGTTCGCCCCACACCTATGGAATGTGCATGACGCCACCATGAACAACAATGCTCGTACCAACAACATTTGTGAAGGGTGGAATAATAAGTTCTTCAACCTCGTCGGTCACTACCATCCCTCAATCTAGCGCGTCATTGAATGCTTTCAGCGTGAAGAAGCGACAGTGAGCACCATTATCAAACAGGATGCTGTTGGCAACCCACCTCAAAGAAGAGTTCGTCGACGCTATGTGCAGCTACAAGAACGCCTTCGCAACTTGTGTGTTGCTCGACGGGAGGATTACAAGACTGTAACAGATTTTCTTCGTGGCGTCGGTTGGAATGTTCGTCTTAATCATTAACACTAAATATACATGTAATGCCATGCTATTATGTAAGTTGTTTTCAACGTGTACATGTCATGTGAGTACTTCAATAAATGACTGTTTTAAAGGTTTTTAATAAACTCTGATTTTTTCGAGGATTTATAATGCTATGACATTATGTATGCTGTTTTCAATGTGTACATGTTATATATTGCCAATAAACGACTGACATAAATGTTTTTGTTTCATTGCCTTGTATTGTCAGTTAATAAGCGACTTAAAATACTTTTTGTTTAATTACTTTAATTTGTATCTTTGGTGTTTAAAGGAAATGTGACTTTTTTCCTGTGACTTTATTACCGGTCACCCCACGCACTCTTCGTCTTTCTAGGGAGTGCAAGTTTAGTTTCTTTAACCTATCTTGATATGGAAGGTTTCTAAGTCCCGGAATCATTTTCGTCATTCTTCGCTGCACCGACTTTAGTGAATTGATATCCATTCTATAATAAGGACACCAGAACTGAACCGCATAATCGAGGTGCGGCCTGACTAGCGCAAGATATAGTTGCAATAAGACCTCTGCACTCTTATTACTTAAACTTCTAGATATAAAACCTCAAGGAAGTGTGAACGTGTGTATGTGTGTGTGTTAATTTTAGACACCCCATCTTATTTCTACTACTACTACAATAACACTCACCAATAATGAAGTCATAGTATGGGAGGAGGGGTGTGGTGAGGCGGTATGGGTCGTATCCAGCTTCCTTCACCACACCCAGCAGCAGCAGACGTAGCACCGGCAGCAACAGCACCACCGTCGCCTTACTCGCTATCTCCGTGCCCATCTCTGAAACCTGGGAGACACGATAATTACAGTCTCTAGAAAGGATTTGGGTATGGCAGGTGAATGGTGTGAGACGAGTGTAGTTGTATGTTGATAAAGTTCACCTGCCACTTGAACTTGTATTGAATCTAAACTTGTCCACAAAGCCTTCGTGTAGCTATTATATTCATTTAGTATTGTCTATCTTCTATTTTCTATTAATTTAAGAATATGTGATGTTTGTTCTTCTCAACTTCACTTTTTATGTTATATGAATAAGAATTTCCTGTTACATTCTGTAATTTTGTTTTTTTTAAGCAGTCTTAATTCTCTTAACTTAACTTTGTGGTTGACTCACTGTGAAAATGTCAGTTGAATCTCACTTATGTTAAATAAGGAATGAGTAGCGTTTTTCAGTTTGGTCTGAGAGTCTGTGTTTCATTTACTGTCTATCCTCGCCCTATGTGAAGAGTCTAAATTCCTCCTGATTGTACCTAAAACACACTGTGTTTGCTGGCGCTTACCCCAAACGTTTTCTTTAACCCGGGATCATTCACAAGTGTTGCTCAACACCAGCGGTCAACTTCCATGACATTTCACGCCATGTATGAAAAAAACCCAACCAATAAGTTTTTCTTAACCGTGTCATTTTCAATAAATAACACACAATAAAAGAAGCGATCAGGTTCCTACTCGGATACCACGAACGTGCAAGGTCACTGCGTCTCGGCAGACCTTCATGTGCCCCTGCCAAGGTGCACGTGCAGGGCTGGGCCAGGGACGGTGTGTGTTCTAGGAAATGATCTAACAACGGTGACGCCTGAATAACTTCGCCAAATTTAATTTCTTGTTATTTTGCTTATTAATTTTCTTTATTATCCATCTTACTTACCAGTGGGGCGGTCAGTTAGTTATCTGTTACACACTGTTGGCAAGTACTGGACATATATTGGCCCCAGAATATATCTGTACCTGCGCCAGTGTTGGTCAAGTCTAGTCTTGAATAAAAGCTCACACTTGGTGCCATCACAACGCTTTCTGATTCTTCCAAGAGTTTACATCTCTCACTCCGAAAAAGTTTGTTCTGACAATTTTCTGTACTCAAGGGAAATCACACTTGGTGCTGTCATAAACAGTTTTAGGTCGGAGAAAATTTCATAGCCAAGGTCTTTGAGTAGTTTCCAGACGTGGTCAGGTGTGTCTGTGCATCACCTGAAGATTAGGAGCACTCTTTTGCCTGACGAATAAACACCCGAACGCTACCTGCTGGGGGTGTTAGATTACCAGTAGGGTGTTTGATCATCAGGTGAAATAAACATGAATGCCTAATCATCAGGTGATCCGTGCATGTGAAAGATGCATTTATCTGAAGCACCTCCGTCATCTGCAACTGGGAGATAGTCACAGAATGATTAAGTTTACTCCCTGTGAGTTGAACTTCAGGTAAACCAGAAGATAAAATCAATTTTTATTTTTCTCAAAAGACATTGGGAACACGTAGTGAACTCCTGTGACGCACTCGAACTAATCGGGTCCCAGCTGCACTCAAACACGCTCATGGTGGGTTCCCAGACGCACTCAAACACGTATTAATGAGCCCCAGGACGCAGTTGATGACACTTAGAGAAAGGTCTTAAGACGCACGTAAGCAACGACATAGTTGAATTATAAGATGCACTTAAACACACACAAACATTGAGCCCCCAGTACCGCACTAGACACTATAACGAAGGGGTATGTTCAGCAAGCTCACAAGAAACACTCGACGCGCATTGTGACGTGTGCGCACTAAGTCACTCGTATTGAGACCTGTACCCATTCAGACACGCACATTATAATCTCCTGCGCATGCTCAAACAAATTGCGACCTGTACGCACTCAAAAAAAAAAACCGCACATAGTCAACAGAAGGATGCACTCACACGGGATAGTTCCTCTCTCCTACAAGTCTATTCCACGAGTGACGCCAATAGATGTCTCGTATCTGTATTTATAACCTTGATGATGGTCACGAGTCCTATGCAAGTCCTCAGTTACCGATTAGTTTAATTTCGATTTATTTTTTATTCTGGGGGAAATAATTGAGTTTATCGTTAGGTATATACACTTAGGTTCAAGGTACACCAGAACTCTCGCCTCATATCTGACATTTGTCATCTTACACAGCGAGGCCATTAAATCTGACATCTTAGAATCATGATACAAGAGTTTCAATGATCATAAAAAATGTCAATAGTTACGATTTAATCAGCAGTAACTAGAAAACATAATTATTGCCTTTTAATTAGCAACATTATCACTATTCATTCTAGTTAATGAATTGGATGTATTGTTAAATTAGCTATTTTTTAGTTGAGAAATAAATGGTTTTGTTCCGACCTATATTGATGTTCTCTTGCTACGACCTCCATTGATGTTCTCTTGTTAGATCTTCATTGATGTTCTCTTGTTAGATCTTCATTGGTGTTCTCTTTGTTACTGGAGTAGAGGAGTAGATCAGATAAGGGAGAAACATGAGAAATTGATGAGGGGGAGATGGAGAGAAAGAACATGGATGAATCAGGTTAGGATAGAAATTACCTGCCTTGTACTCTTGTCCTTGAACCGCAGCAACACAGGGAAAACCCAGTCAACAGGAGGTCAGCTGTTAAACATTCTTTCTCGATCAGGCATTTCCTCCTACCTCTTAGTCTCTCTCACCAGCATCTGCCTCGCTCTCCTTATCACTGGGGAATCTCAGTGTCTGTACCTGAAAGTACTTGCGTCTGTAATTACTTGTGTACAGTTTCCCACAAAAGTCCTGTCGCCTATCCTGCTTGTATTTGTACCTGTACTTGTATCTTACCTATACTTGCCTATGCAACTATACTTTTACAATTATATTTATACCCGTACCTGTGAATATATTTGCATTTGTACTGTGCATTGTGTAGCCGCATTGTCTATGTACAGTTGCCCACAGGTACAGTATTCCACCCATCGGCGGCCTTCCCCAACATGTGGCAGTGTCAGAATCATAGTCGAACCTTCTTTACCGTTTTTACATCTATCATATCGCTTAGTACAAATCTCGAGTATAAATATTACAGAAAATATTGTTGATCACATGTTCGGAAAGGCTATCGAGGGGTGGAACACTGTACCTGCAAGCAGCTGTACATTGTTTGCATCTCTACACTACGTACATTGTTTGTGTAACTGCAATAAGGTCTTTCTACAGTGGTAAGTATTCTTTTTTTACTTCTATCCTTTGTTACACTGGCACAAATTTCTGTCTCTCCCCTTTTTATTTCTGCAAATGGAATTGGAATGGTTTAGCGTTATCTGTCTGGTTCTTAACACTGGTTAACGCACTATTACATATTGATTGACTCTTGCCCTTTGAATAATTCAGTTGTTTAGAGGTCAATGGGTTAAGCGTCCGTCGATGCTCCAATGACCATGATATTAACAAAGTCTTTCTCCCATGTTGATATAAGGGTCACTGGGTCAAATATCAAGGTCATTGTTGATATTAGATCCAGTCACAGGGGCGGATCCAGGGCGGGTCCGGATCCCCCGTTTTGCATCATAAAATTTCTATACTTTTTCTTTAAGGCAGTATTTATTCATGGGTTTTTGTATAGTAAAAAGTAAATGCTATTGACCTCAGAATATCTCCTAATATCAAGTGCACTTGATTTGAAAATGGCCTCAAAGCGCACATGGTATTGGTCAGATATCACAAAATTTTCTGGGGGACTTACAGCGTCCCCCCAATAAAAAAAAGGCTGGTGGGCTCGCTGTGCTCGCTATGCTCCCCCACCCACAACTTCTTGGACCACCTCCCCATTTTGATATTCCTTGATCCGCCCCTGAGTCAGCAGTGGACTATCACGGAAGTCATGAGGTTGGAGTTTCAGGTCCCTTACTTTGAGAGGCTACCAGTCACAGTGTACCCAAAGGAAATTATATTTGGTACCGGTAAAATGCACTGGTTTAAGTTTCTTCTATATTTCTTTCTCAGTTAGCTAAGCACGTATACCCGAATGACACGGAGATGGGAGACAACCCTGGCCAGACATTGCATTGGTCACTCTGGGGCCTAGAATGACCAGTGCAATGTCTGGCCACGGCTGTCACACAACCAGCCACCTGATGACCCAAGAGCCCCAGCCAGTTGATCTGAGGACCAAAAAGCGTAACCGAATTAAAGTAGAGCTGGACACGAGATTTGTCGGAATTTTTATCTCCTTCCCTCTGCGACGAAGAACTCGTAGGTAATGAGTCGTTGAATCGTTCGTTCAAGCAGTGGTTTTAATCGTTCGAACCTCACCTTCGTGCTTGACCGTCGAGGATTGGGAGGGTAAGCCTATAGTGTACACAGACGAACCTAAACGTGGGACATTTTAGTACCATTAACGAAAACTCCCTAAACTGAGATTTTTTTTTTTAAATTGTACCAGCGTTTTTAAAATTAGATGATTCCAGCAGCTGAACGAGCTTGCACTAGGCAGTAAAACAAAACAAGTCTCTTGAAAATTGCATTATATTGAACGTAAAAACATTATTGGAAAAAATGGTTTATAAAATTACCATTGTTTTTCTTCGTTCATTAATCGTATTTACTATAAATATCCAATAAAACAAACAAACAATTACAAGGAGGGTAACGAAGATCAGCCACTAGCCATATCTTAAAATTCCAGAAGCTATTAGTTCGTTTTTCCACTGCCCCTCTCCGTCGATCGTTGCAGTGTGGAGTACGTCGCGTTTAAAACTGTGGTTGTGGACACGACGGCCCCAGTTCGAGGCTCAAGGACCACTGGTTTATCTCTACCGGCGACACCAGCATCTTAGCGCCATCTCTAGGACAAGCATCCAACTTATCGGGATTGACGTAATCTCGTAAGACTTAATAGTTCCTTTGATATTCCTTGATATGGTAACAGCTGTACGGGCATTTGGACACCTGCCAGAATTAAAGGGTAATTATATGTATCTGCATTAATTTAGAGCTTCATTTGTATAGGTTAAATTGGCTGACATGGGAAGAAAGACTATATATATATAGTGGCGAAAGCAAACACAACAAACATCAGTGAAATAATCAATATTTCGAGACAACTTTCACTGCTGTATTTTGGTTGACATGTATCTCTTCTATAAGATCTGACTATCTAGGGGTAAAATATTGGATTATATGAACAAACTCAATTGAAATGACAGTTATCTAGAATAAGATTAGTTGAGGTCGTTACATTGTGTTCTAATTCACTAACAACTTACCTAACGTAACTAGATCTTTGATATGACCTCTGTACATGTTTAATCCCACAGCGTCCACTTTTAAGGCCCGGCTCACTGATATTTGATAATATTTAATTGGAGATCCTAGTACCACAGACCAGTACAGAATTACCCTGGACCACCTCCTTACTTTGGTATTGTCTGGCTCTTGACCCTAACACTGTTCCCATATCCTTCTCCCACATAACTGAAATTATTACAGCGCAGTACTGTAACAGAATGTGGTGTAGGCCCTAACCTGGTGTAGTTTTATGTTCTGAATTCAAAAATATTTATTTTCGGTAAATATTCGTCCATTGCCTGTCCTCAGGTTTGGATACAAGAATAGTTTACTGTTTTATGTTTTTCTGTGAGTTTTACCCAAATCTGACCTTAATTTCTTTTGCAAACTTGCGGTTTTTAGAAAGAATGAACATTTCATTTTTAAAAGAAATATCTAATTTGCACAAAAATGGAAGTCAAATTCGAGTAACACACAGAAAAACTATTCCCATACCAAAGGAACGAAACCTAACCTAACCTACAAGGAGGACATAACTGACTCAAGTGAGGAGTACAACCTCGGGTAAACATGGTGGGAACCTACGGACAGCAGACAGTACTGAAAATGATAAAATAGGAAAGAATGGGTTATATGTATTGATGGCATCAGCACGTACAGTACCTGAAATACATAAGGTTATGTTAGATTATAATAGGCTTGGTTAGATTAGGTTAGAAGGAAAGTCCAGTGATACTGATTGAAGCTAGGATTTATAACTTCTGTTCCGAATCTGCTTACGCTTAACAGGCTAGCCTCTTACCTTTATTCAGAGCCCTAAATATTTATTTTTTTAATAATTTTCAGTACTTTTGGTCAATGGTAGTTTCGACCAATGAGCCTGACCAGCATAGTGTGATAAGTACAGAACTGTACTGTACTAGAGAGCATTGTAAGAAGCCATTGTGGAACATCTACTATGAAACAACCTTGTGAAGGATTGCCATCGTGGTTTTATGCTGGGACGCTCCTGCTTGACACATCTACTCGATATTATTGCATTTTCACTCCTAAGATTGTTGGAGGGTAGGGGGATAGGTGATAAATAAAAAATTACTCATTTCCGACGGAAATGAAGGTCAAATTCGAGTGAATTTGATGTTCATTGTTAAAGCTGCCTCCTGAAAGCTGGGAATGCTGTACAGATGCCATTGCTACTTCACTACTGAGCAGTTGCTTCAAGTACACAGTCTTTCCTCGACTTACGACAGGGTTCCGTCCCGGCGACCGGGTCGTAAGTAGAATTGGTCGTAAGTCTAAAAGGCGAAAATAATACAGTACATAGAAATTCTAAAATGCGTGTCTCTTTTTCTTCTCAGCACCATGAGAATGAATGATAACATTTACCATTTGAACAAATTAAGTGAAGAAATATCTGTATTTTCTTTTTTTTAATATTTTTAAGCCTAGATAAACTTTTCTGACATTCTTGCCTGGGAGAAACTTATTGGTAAAGCTGCTTTTCCACTAAGTTACAGTTTTGAGTACAGTAAATTTATTATATGCTGTGTAGACAAGATCAACCTCGGTATATATATATTTTTTTAAGCATCAAGCACAGTACAGAAGTAGTCACAACTGTATTAGCAGGTAATCTAAAAGCACAGCACTCAATCTCTGAATAAACTTTAACTGGCTGGCTGCAGCCTGCCATAGTCATACTCTTTGGGTTGTGGTTCATAGACTGTACCTTTTAAAATACAAACTTTATATAATGTGCAAAGTTCACCACAGCTGCCACAGTCCACTAGGAGTATATATAGAATATAATTTTGTTTTGTGAAGCAAGAGAAGAATTGTGAATGAAAATTTTAGATATGAACAAAAACAGTCATTGTTAATTTTTTAAGTTTTATTTGTATGAGGTGTTTGACTCATAAATGGGGGCAGTTAAAGTGGTAAGCCTGAATGATAACTTTTTTGTTTTTTCCAGGTCCAAATACTGTGTCCAGGCCACTTAACTACTGGACAATTATGCCTACTGACAGAACTTTCTGGGACATCAGAACTCTCCCAAATACAGGATGCTTGGCAACCCTAGGTGAGAGCTGTGGAACCCTCTGATTTCAGGACTGAAAACTTCTTTACATTCCAATTACCTGTATTGATTTTCCAGGCAGGCTTCCTTTATGTTAATATAACAGGTGCTTTCATATCCCTGGCCAGTCGAAGGCAGCCAGCTTATCTCGGAACCTTAATTACTGCCTTGCTTTACCCACCATACTTGGGAAATCCTGGATCCCCTCAGTTATAATACAAAAGTGTTATACAGTATAATGGACATTTACATTGCATAGTACAGTACTGTACCTGTACAGTATTAATCATTCATGTGGTGGTGGAACTACATATACCAGCGTTATTTGAACTTAAATGAGAGATTTCCGGGTTTGGAGATGAATTTATAATCCCCAGAAGAATCACACATCTCCAAAAAATTTCCTGGTACTAGGGGGAGGTTTTTGGAAAGTCTAAATTATGCATCTTACATGGGCAAATACAGAGCTAATTATTTATGCAAACTAATGTGTAGAGGTGTAAGTACAGTACTGTACACTGTACAACTCCTTCTTTATGGTGGGAAAGACCACTGTACACATAAAATATATTGTAAATAATCCAAATATACTACTGTATGTACTATGCAGTACTTGTTTGTACTCACCAGCAGGAGCTGTCATCTTGGGCTTGTGATGCAGGCAGGCCAAATGTTGATATGATGATACAGGATGGCCTGCCATTGTCCTGTAGCAGGTGTTACTGTCACTGACCTTTTCCGCCATAAAGAAGGGATTGTACACGGACTGTACAGTATACAGTACTGTATACTATATGTACTGTATTTGCACCTCTACACATTAGTCTACGTTAGGCATACACTATCACTCTATGTACAGTACAATATGTGCATTACAGTGCTTTTGTACTTACTGAATGCACAGTACAGTACAGTAAGTCCTTGCTTAACATTGGGGTTACGTTCCTAAAAACGCAACGTTATATGAAACAATGTTAAGCGAATCAATTTTCCCCATAAGAAATTGATAAAATATGGGACCTATGTTCCTGAGCCTCCCTTTGCCCCATGAAATACATTACAGTACATATACAGAAAATCATTGCCATTTTTATAGAAAATAGTGCATATATATACAACTGCTACGTTTGTATTGGTACTCACCGATGGCCAGAGGTTGTAGAGCGAGTGTGTGGTGGGTAGTGAAGCGGAGGAGGCGAATGGCTGGAGGGGAGGAGTATGGTGGGAGTGGAGGAGGAGGAGGAGGACGAGGACGGGAGAGAAGGAGGGTGGCGAGTCACTGAGACTGCAGCTGTCGAGAGAGCATAGCTGGGCCAGATGAGAGAGGGTGATATGCCATAAAAAGTAGTCCATGACGACGCAAAATGACTTTGTACCGAGTCATCGGGACGTTAAACGAATTTTTGGTACCTAAAGATTAGCAACGTAGTACCGAAGCAACGTTAAGCGGGCCGGCATCATACGAGGTCTTACTACTGTATACACATAACTGGAATCACTTTTTACATCTTAACACTGTATTCTTGGCTTATTGTTTCCTGGTACAGTAATATACAGTGTATTGCACAACACAAATAGTATGCACAAACAGCAGCGAATAAGGGAACAACCTTGTACAGTTGCAGCAGAATATGAACTAAGTGCACGAGCCTATGGCCTAAGTTACTCAAGCAGCTAGGCCACCGAAGCTCCCGGGACGTGGGGACGCGTTGGAGCGTGACGCAATATCTCGAAACTCCCGAAAAGTTTGTTCCCATGCCTGGAACAGAGAATTTTTTTTAATTTTCCCAGAAAATGCAAATGATTTCATCCTCGGAAAATCATTCCCATGCCCGGAATGGAGAGAATTTTCCAGGAAGGCTCAAAATTCATTCCCGATATTGGAAAGTTTTGGAGACCAGAAATTCCAGCTAATGGGGAGATTACTTATGTAATGTACTGTATGCTCCCGATTTACAAGTAGCTACTTATTTAACTTATTTTCCTAATGGCCATGCCAAGGGAAGGTGGATGGTTGCTTGTGTAGGATCCCTCCATTGTTCTACATAGCCTTGTCAAAGACTATTTTAATACCCAGTACTGATTTCGATTCCACAGCTTGAGCTGGTAGACTGTTCCATAGTTCTACCACCATCTGTGTGAAGAAGTATTAGGTTACATTTGTCCTGCAAAATATCATGGCAAGCTTAAAGTTACTCTCCATGTGTTGGTGTGTGCCATCACATAAAAAAGGCCCAAGTTCATGTCTTCCATTCCTTTCAAGGTTCTGAATGTCTCTATGAGAGATATGCCTTATTGTGTCATGTCTGAAAAGTTGTTACTCCTAAGGCCCTCAGTCTGTTTGGATAATCAAAATGATAATGTTGGGATCATCTTAGTCACTCTGTACTGTATTGCACCTTTTTCTAGAGATGCTAATTATTTCATGAGGTAAAGTTTCCATGTCTGTATGTAAACAAGAATCCAGACTGGGATGTATGGGAGATTAAAAACTTGAAAGAACTTTTTATTATCTTTGTATTTGAAGGTACGTGTTATACAGTATACTGTACAGTATTACCTCTCTACCAAAATAATTTGTGAGTGGCCATTTCGTTATAGGGATTTTTCTGATTAAAAACAAATCTGAAAAACTCATTTAATACCAAACTTTGTTCAGTATACAGTATATAAAAAAGTTAAGTATTTTTAATTGCGATTAATTTTCACTACGTACTGTATACCGTTTTTTTTTTTTTCTCTCTCTCTCTCAAGATTGTACATCAAAATAGAGTAACACATGGATATTGTAAAAAAAAAAATTCTATATTCAGGGATGTGATTTATCCATATTTTCACAGTTTTTTCCCATCATTTTGGGCAACTCATGTGAATCACATAGATTTGTTGAAAAAAATTGGGGAGATGGTATGACGAGAAATGTTTGACAATAATTGACCCTCTAGTGTCGATGGGTCTACCGTGTGAGGACGATGAGCCAGTGTACTGAGTATAGTGGCCGCACTCTACATATTCATGCTCTATTTCTCATTGGCTGAGTAGTGTGCGTGCGTGCGTGTTCCCCAGGGGGCCAGGTCTGTAATCATGTTTGTGTGTTCCCCCCAGGGGGTCATGGCTGTAAGGCAGGTGTTTGTGTTCCCCAGGAGGGGGACCCTATGATGAGTGGTAACATAAAACTCAACAGTTTTATACTATATTTTCTTTATTTCGAAGCCACTTTAGAGTATTCTAATGATTTTTTGACAACTTTTATAGTTTCATTACATGTAACAATAAACGTAGCGGTTGGGCTGGCAGGTCAGATATATATACGTATATATATGTATATATATATGCTTGTGCACATGCATATTATGTATCCAGTGTGTTTTAACAACAGGAATACCAGCTCTATTTTTTGAAGCTGTAATATTGTCTTGCTTTTAATTATCAGACTTTTAATTCAGATAACTTTTTCTTTCAGATATATTATCAGGCAGTACTGAAACAAATGGACCAATTCAACAACTACAAAATTGCTAAAAGCAAGATATAACAAAAGCCAAAAGTTTTGTCCTGTGAATACCTATCATTACAGCGCCAGTCATGTGGATGGTTGACTTTGTACCGAAGATGGTGTGAGTAACAGTTGTGTCATAGCAATACTTAAGAAATGTTGTTATTGATGTTTGTATAAAATCTAATGCTTGTGGACATACAATGGAGGGTCAGCTGAAGTGTACCACATCATCAGCAGCAGTAGACAATGTTAATGATTCAGAACTAGTTACTGATTCCAAACATGGGGAAACGTTTTGTGAAGCAAAAGTTTTGAAGAACTTTGTATGTGGTGATCAGATTCAAGAAAAGTAGCAACTTGTAATTTAAAAAAAAATGGAAAGTAGCAAGAGGAATGAATCCACTTTCCTTAAAAGTTCTTTGGATGGTGATGTAAGTGACTCCACAATCAGAAGATCTCAAAATAGTGACTTGAATAATACAGAAGCCTTTGCATGTTCTGTCTGTGGAAAAGAATTCAAGCTTGAAACAAGTTTAATGAAGCATACTTGGTTACATACTGGAAAACAACCTTTTGCCTGTTCAGTATGTAACAAAAGGTTTGCAGAGAATGGCAACCTTACAAAACATATGAGAATACATACAGGAGAAAAGCCATATTTATGTAAAGTATGTGGCAAAAGATTTACACAACGTTCTAGTTTGTTGTATCACTCACGAACTCATACTGGAGAAAAACCACACCAATGTGATATTTGCAGGAAAAAGTTTTTGTCCACATCTGGTCTAAGCAGTCACAAAATAACACATTTAACAACGAAACCGTATTCGTGTGAAATATGCGGCAATGTCTTCTCAAGAAAAAATTACCTGGGTTTGCATAGGATGGTTCATACAGGAGAAAAACCTCACGAATGTATGGAGTGTGGGAAACTTTTTACGCAGAAGGGTAAACTAACGAGTCACACTAAACTGCATACCGGTGATCGGAAATATAAATGCGAAGAATGTGGTAAAGCTTTTGTTTTAAATTGTCAGCTCAAAAGACATGTTCGAATTCATAGTGGTGATCTTCCTTACCAATGTGAAATGTGTGGGAAGAGATTCTTGCACAGGACTAGTATTGTTGAACATATTAAAACTCACACAAACGAAAAGCCACATGCTTGCAAAGTTTGTGGTAAAAAGTTTAAAAATAAAGGTGGAGCAACAATACACATGTCATCACATTCACAGGAGAAGCCTTTTGAGTGTGAGGAGTGTGGGAAGAAATTTACTTTGAAGACCAACCTTAACCATCACTTAAAGATTCATGAAGGAATCAAAGATTTTGTCTGTGATATATGTGGACAGAAATTTATTTTCAAAAATAGACTTGATCATCATATGAGAATGCACAGAGGTGAAAAGGATTATGTATGCAAAATATGTGGTAAAGGCTATTCCTGGAAACCAAGTTTTATTCAACATATGAAAAGGCACTCTATCAAGCTAATCAGGGAAACTGAAGATTCACCAGAAAATGATAAAAAGAATTCCTTACTCCACGAACAAAATACACCAGTTGACTTTGAATTTGTAGAGTGTGGGGCCACAGATTCAGCAAGTGAAGGTGGCAAATGTGAGGATGAAGTTAGTCCAATTTCTGAAATGAAAGAGGGGTTGAATCTTGATTCCCTTTGTCCAGTGACAAAGGACCTCACTTGCTACCCTACCGATACGGATGTAAAGGAAAGTAAAATGAACCCGTGTTTATCTGTAATAACCGTCGGGGAGTCGAGAGAAATTGGATTGAAAAATAACTGGGAATTGCCATCACATTCAAATACCAGCCATAGTCCCATAAAGAAAGAATCAGTGGATGTAGCATCTATCAAAGAGGAAGTTCTGACTTGGGAAGAATTGGACCAGTAATAATGGGGTTCTCGTACAGTCTGTACGGTCCAATGTCATTAGTGCCTTGATACTTGAAGTCTCCATAGCAAGTTATTTTATATTTTATGCTTGTTGTCCTATTTCTTCATGTGTCTGTCCCCCAGAAATTGTCATATTAGATTTTAAATATAAAATAGATAATGTAATTATTGATGGAACATAATTTGTTGTTAAGTTTAGAGACCCAAATAGAGGAATGTTTAGAATGATTTGATGTTAGCTAGGTAAGGCCTAAATAGATTAGGTACCTTGACAAAGAGTAACATTGAATCTCAAACAATTGTAAATTGTAGTCATGATAGTTTACATAAGAGATGTTATCTTGTGGATGTGTACCTTTTTTTATTAACTTATGTATAGCATTTAGATGTAAATTTATTTATAGTTACCTGTACAGTACATTATTTTAAAATCCACATTTTTTGTGGAATATGTTAATTATAGAATTTACAAGAAGGTGGTACAGGTGGATGATATGGGGGCAGTGCATTAAGAAGTAATTTATTATAGATTTATCAAACTGGACATGTCACATTGCCTTGAATGAAAATTTTATCAGGGTCGAAATATTAATTGTTTCATCGTAGTTGACACACACAGTAATAGGCTGTGGTTGCAGCTACAATGAAGCATTTAATTGGTCTTTTTACTGTCACAGAAGATAAGGTGGGTTATATTTTTCAAGTAAGTGGACTCCACAGGATGTTGTACTCAGAAAGTATTACTGTATACTGTACAGTGGCTGCAATTGAAATCTTTACATTTTTGGCGCAAATGAAAAGTTTACACGGCGTGCAGTGTAAAGATTTTAATTGTGTTCCCGAGCATACACAAATGGGAGGATTTTGTGTTTACGTCACCGCCTCCCACACGCCACCAAGGCCACTCGCTTGAGTAAGCCACGCTGTCTGAAAGAGAGAGGTGCAAATATACGTATCACCACCACCAGGCATTCTTCACTTTTGCGCCCACTTTGAGAGCCTATATCTCCACTCAGACTGAATAGAACGGGTCGCAACAAGCTCGCAATAAATGAAAAAGCTCTGGCTTTAACCCAAATAGAACTGGGGATGGGTGTGATACGTTTAGCCACAGACTTAAAAGTTTCAAGGCAAGCCATTTACCACTTAAGAAACGCAGCGGCGACTTACCACCCAGCACTACACCGAAGAGGAAAGTGGGATCTGGGGCAGTTAGGAAGACTTCACCAAGGACAGACAACATCCTGAAGTGTGAAGTGATGTCTGATCCTGCTGAAACAGGTTCTACACTGAAGAAAAAGCACCCAGACCTCCTCAAACATGTGGCAATCAGGACCATACAACATCGTCTCCAGAAAGACCTCGGTTTACCGACTCGGCTCACACCTAAGAAGCCTCTTCTCACCGAGGCTATGAAGAAGAAGAGGCTTAATTTCTGTAAGAAATACGAGCACTGGACATCAGACGACTGGAAGAAGGTGACGTTTAGTGATGAAAGCACCTTTAGGCTGGTGAGGGGTGCCTCGAAGAGCGTGCGTCGGCCCAAGAATGTGTCGCGGTACTCTCCAAAGTACACAGTCAAGACAGTGAAGCATCCAGATATTGTAATGGTGTGGGGTGCTTTTAGTGGTTGTGAGGGCAGGGGAGATCTGTACTTCCTTCCCAAGAATGTCACGATGAAGGGAACTAATTATATCGAGGTGTTAAGGGACCACATGCTACCGTTTTGGCCAATCCATCAATGTCATAAATTCATGCATGATGGTGCCCCTGCCTACAAGTCAAAAACAGTCACAAAGTTCCTCAGTGACAATGAAATTGATGTGTTAGAGAGGCCTGGTAACTTCCCCTACTTAAACCAATCGAAAATGCTTGGAACATGATGAAAAACAAGATTCAAGGGGCCAGACCCAGCGACATCAAGGACCTGCAGGTTGCGCTGAGGAAGTTGTGGGTCAACATGGACGTCTCCTACTTTGCCAACCTCACCCAATCAATGCCAAAACGACTGCAGATGGTATTGAAAACGAAAGGCAACATGATAAAATACTAAATATAAAATAAATACTGTAATATAAGTCATGTTTTTAGTGTTTATTCTCCTCCAAATCTCAAGGTGAACACAATGTCAACATTTCTTTTGTGGTGACTGTATGTGGTTTAGATTTTTATGCCATGTATATCAACCCAATATACAGTAGTAGCGGTTGTACAAGAACAGGAGAATCGACCCAGAATAATGCGAGTTCAATATAGACGGATGCGGCTCATTTATGAACCTTTCTCGAGCAACTTGCAAGAGAGGTGTGATTATCTATGCTAGGCAAGACCTTAGAGCCCTATAAATACCAGTCCCTATTAATACTAGGCCCTATTACGATTAGATCCCATTGCGACTAGACCCCATTACGACTTGGTCCCATTAATACAAGGCCCCATTACGACTAGTCCCCATTACGATTAGACCCCATTACTGTTAGACCCCTTTCGACCAGTCCCCCAGCTGTTAAGGCATCTGTTTGGATCACTCGTTCACTTGGCGTTGAAATTTCTGGCGTATGTTGTGGCGTCTGGTGTGCGTTGTGGCATCTGGCGTGTGTTGTGGCATCTGGCGTATGTTGTGGCGTCTGACGTATGTTGTGGCGTTTGGCATATGTTGTGGCAGCTGGTGTACCCTGAAGCGCAATAATAATGTGTATCTGTGTGGCGTTGGAGAATGGTGTCCCCTTGTGCCATTAGGTGCGCCATAGTGGACATAATGTGCGTACACTCACTCACACACACACACACACAAATTGGCCATCAGCTAACTAGAGGTCTCTCCGTATGGTCCATTAACTTAAATGATTTGAAATGGACGATGGATGAGAGGCAGTTGGAATGAGATGTGTATGAAGTCGGGAGAGGAAGTAGACGATATTATAGAAGTCAAGTGAAAGTCTTAAGAACTATGTTTATGTGGGGAGGGGGGCGAGGGGATGACATAAAACTGTAAATATCTGGTGGTGTTAGTCATGGCTCCAAACTTTATCCCAGTTAGTATTCTTTCACTGTTTTTCCTCACATGACCTAGTGTGTGTGTGTATGCATGTGTGTGTATGTGTGCATGTGTGTGTGTGTGTGTAAGATTAAAAGATGATGTTGATGCTGAGTATCTGTTGTGACGTGGTAGTCGATTCTCTTTACCTTCACACACACACACACAAGAGAAATTTGAGGATGGGCGTGATGTTGGCTGCAGGAGAAAGTCATTCGTGAGTAATGCTAAAAGCTTCCTTAACCTCTACCTACCTACCCGCCCACCCGCCATCTTTATTTCATTATACACACCATACCTGACCTGACTGATGGGTGTTTGTGAGTGAGGAGGTTTTGTTTACAAGGACAACTTAACAGGGACAATCTTGTTTATCTCACCTTACGTTGTCTTCTTCACTTAAAAAATGTGTCTGTCTGTCTGTCTGTAAACCCAAAATTAGTAAACTGTAAATATATCACAACGAGATCCAAGACGATATCGATAGTCAGTTGTTTTTTGGGGGCTGTGATCTCATCAAAGGCTCTGGACTCGTGGGCTGTGTCCCCAGACCTTTACCTATCTACTGTCAATCATTGGACCCCATACCACTGCCGCAGCTGCTACGACCGTCGGTTCATCTTCTCCGTCTGTGCCCCGGTGTCTCTCTGTAACAAGACATCGGCCGCTGCCGCTCGAGTGAGGAAGCCTGTTTGGACCATCCCCAGGGCCACTGCTGTAGGAAATATCTGTTCATTGTTTGATTCCATTAATTGCTGACTCCCATTAATTGTTTGATTCCATTAGTTGTTGACTTCCATTAATTGTTTGATTCCATTAATTGTTGACTGCATTAATTGTTCGACTCCCGTAATTGTTATTTGATGGTTGTTGAGTGGTGTCAGAGTTTTGTGTTATATTTTTTTATAGTAAAGAGATGTCCATCTCAAACGGTTGTTTGTTATTCCTCAGAAAACCATGGTCCTTGACTTTCCTTTATTAAGATCCCAGGTCTTTACATAGGTATGAAGAGAAATGTATTTGTTTGTTGGAGGCATTAGGAGCCATAAAAAACTACAGGCCCCTTCCTAGGTTATACAGTATTAGAAACCAGAGCTGGAGAGAAATATAGTAAAGTTTCTTCACTACCGCCCACCACTGTTAGAAACTTATGTATTGTTCTGTACAAATTTGTGAATCATTGATATGTAACTTTAGTCTACAGTACAGTATAGGGAGACCCTGATTTACGAAGATTTGATTTATGAAAATTCACAGTTACAAAAGAAAATCCAAGTTTTGATTTACAGTTAAAAATCCTGACATTATTAAAATATTAACATTCGTACAGTGGTTCCCCGATTTACGCGGTCAATTGAACCCACGGAGTAGCGCGTGAAACGAGAAACGCATAAATGGAATAACAGAACATATGGGATTAATTGAAATAGAGACCGGGCCGACTCCCAAACTCCACTTTTTCAGACACAATACCTACGTTGTAGTAAAAATAACATCTTAATTTTATGATGGTATGCACACAATTAATAATTAGAAATATCAATAATATTAGGTTTTTTAACACATACATTAGTAGAAAAGATGGCTGGGCACACGGGGATGGGGGGGTTGGTTCCGAGGCAGAGGGCAAATTATTGGCCCTCGCCTGTATCACTTGTATCAATTGTATCACTATCCACCACAGAGGCTTGCAGGGCCTCTTTGTCAAACCCCATAATTCCATATCCTCACTATCACTATGACTGACTTGGGCCGGCTGTGGTGGGTGGCGGGTGAAGAACTCGGTAATGTTTTGATGACTGGGCGTCCTTGTGCACACCCTAACCGTGCCGCTTCCCGCGTAAATGAGTAAATTCACTGAGTAAATCGGGCGTCCCAGTTCTGGCAAGGTACCGCGTAAATGACCAAACGCATTTACAAGAACCGCGTAAATCGAGGTTCAACTATTTTTTTTACTATCGATACTCCTGCTTATTTCACTAATTTATGTAATTATTCTTTAACACTCACAATGTTATTCACCCTTTCGCCATGTGTTACGCATTTGCCATTTTATTCTGGCTACCACCAGACATTTTATTCAGCTTTGGGTAACCTCCCGCTGTGAAAGGGTTAAGTCTACAAAAATAAGCTTTCAGTGTGTCATCTTTCTCCTACAATCACCATATAACTTACTTCTCAGACTTGTGTGAGGATGGGTCACTCACACCACCACAGTTTGTCCAATTCTACTGTATATTCTTAAATTTTATAAACTGATTATTTTCAATTAAGGTGTAGAGATGTAAGAGTGAGTGTGGAATTTGGAGGTGTGGAGAATGTCAACAATGCAACGAGGGAGGGCGAGTGGTGCTTTAGATGATGGCCGAGATAGTGTTCATCCCTTGTAAACAAAGCAGCGGGAATTTAGGATAACAAAATAACTTATCGGGGGTCCAGCGTGGGATAGTTGTTGTTGTTTTTTTGTGCAGAAAGTATCTCTTAATTATATAATAAAGGTCTTTGTACTGTATTACCACACTATGTAACATAATTATTATACATGTTGGTTTAGTGTTCCATACTGTTCACTCTGTTACAAATTTCATCTGGTTTCTCTTTAGTACAGCACTCTACATGTATAAATTATTACTGTACTTAAATGTTTATTATTGGTTTATAATCATTGTGCACACAGACACACACAAAAACAAACATTTAAAAACATGTTTTGTGGTATTATAAAACTTACCTTGTAGGAATATAGCGGGTATCTCTGCTTTTATAATAAGAGTTTATAGGAAACTGCTTCAATTTATGAAAATTTGATTTCTGAAAGGCATTCCAGGAACAGAGCCCTTTCATAAACCTGGGTCTGCCTGTACAGTACTGTGCTGCTCCCAACATATTTGCTCTACATCATAGTACAGCAAATGCAATCTTTCTCAAGTTATTTTTGTGCAGAATTTAGAAGCACAACCAATATCATGAATTTAAATAAACATTTCAGAATGTAGTAGCTATATGCATTTGAGCTACAGCATCTAAATACTGTACAGTACAGTATATGAATTAGTTCAAAATGCAGTACGTATACTTAACCCGTAGGTGAAATTTTTTCTAAAATATGTTTAAGTAATAGCAATTGGATATGCAATTTAAAAATTTGTACTGTACTGTCCTGTCTAAAGCTAAGTAAATTTAGCGGGTTCAGGTACATTCAGGAGCCGGTGCATGCCCAGTATTTGCCAGAGACATGACCGATCGCCCGGGCGGCTAGCAAGCCGATCTTTTAGTGAAGAAGATAAATGAAAAGAGACGTGACCGATCGCCCAAGCGGCTAACAAGCCGATCAGTGGCGAAGAGGATAAAAGAAAAAAGATATAATAGTGGACAGGAAATCCTTAGAAGTGATAATGGAAATGGCAATTGCAGTCTGCTTAATGCACCAAACGATTCCAGATATTGACATGTTAATGAAAATTATGAAATTAGGTAATTTGACAGCAGTGCCTTTACTGTCAGTTGTTACATCAGTAGACAAATTCTTGGGTTGAATGCTGAAGGATTTAATTAATTATATCATGACTTAAGTAGAATTATCTTTTACAGACACACACCAGCCAGACCATAGTGAAAATGAAGTAGTTAAGAATGAAGAACTAACCCTGAACTCATCTCCAGGGTGTCCTTCATCACAGCATTCCTCTCCCTCTTTCTTCCTTTTGTGGCTACAAGACTTCTCACCACACATTCCTAAGACCAGTATAATAGTCTTATCAGCATTGTTTAGTCATTGGTAATACAGAATAAAGTATGTCACTGGTGGAATTGATGTAGATTTGTGACTATTGTCTGGCGATAACATTGAAGAAGAGAGGAACTTCCTCAAGATTAGAAGAGTCGAGGTTAAACATATTGTGAAGAAAGGGAAGGAAGTCGTCACAAAGACGGTTTAGTGTGGTCTTAGCATCAGTAATTGTGATGGGTACTTTGGTTTAGCTGGAGAAAATTAAGAGGAGTTTCATTCACATAAATGTTGAAAGTTAGTGAATGTATTGCACAGTGGACTTGTGAAAGGTGTTCATATTCACACAATAGGGTATAGCCCTGTATATACCTTATTTATACGTACATGTGGTGCGCATACCTTTTGGACAAATATCTGATGTATTTCTTGGAAACCATCACACTGTAGATCTTGAAGTGTTTTGTAAGTCAAGAACACTGTATTGTCCAACTTTTTATTTTCACCCCGAGTGAGTGACGTGTATGTTGTGATGATGACTTGTGATTTATCAGCTCCTGGAAGTTTTTTTTTTTATGTATGAATGTGTACACGTGTTTATAATGTATGTATGGCCACTGGGTGAGTTGGATTAGTTTACATTTGTATGAGCCAGACTGATGTGGAATGTTTATAAGCATATTAAAGTAACATGGATCATTACCAGAGCTTTTGCCCCAGTACTGACTACTGTGGCAATACCCATTTCAAGTTGAAATGTGCAACTTAAGAGTTTGTTGTATTTCACCACGAGGTAGTTGGCGACTTCTGCTCGGACTTGTGTTCAGCCCCGGGAATATGTACTTACAACCCCCTTCCCCCTCTGCTCTCATCAAAGTCCCTCAGTGCCAGATCCTTAGTGTTCCATAATATACTGACCCTCAACAATCCTACCCATAACTTAGAATGTAAACACATGACTGGTTTAGAGTAACATTAGTGTTCAGAAAAGGTTGTTGTTGCAAATTGTAGGATGAAATACAATTTGTTTGTCTCCAGCTCTGTTCTCATTTTGGCCCATAAATGTATTTTGACGACGACCTACAATTTTTTTTTCGGCGAACGAGTTCTCACACCATGAATCCTAACCACTGTATAAGTGAGTACTGTAATTAAGCAGTGATGAGATGGTTTCAGTGTGGCTTCAAGTTGTCCTCCTTATGCGAGGAAGAAAAGTGGTACGAGTCAAAATGAAACATCTCTGATAAGCACAGTTGCCGATCCCATCGTAAAAGTTCCGTACCGTAGAATAGCCCCGCGTCTCGTAAGCCGACCCTTCATATAGTATTCCAGTAGAAAAATGCCACAAAAACTTTTTCACAAATTGAGGACTATCAGGGTAATATGAGTGCAAAGATGATGAAGAAAATGAATGGTGGTAATTTCTCTGCAGGAATATTGCTGGCTTGCAATTTAGTTTCACTCACTCCGCTGGTGTGAGAATATTTATGTGTTATACAGAATAGCTGCAAATGACCACCACCCACACACAGTTTTATTAATGGGGAAAGTGACACAATATCCTTACCCCTGCAATGCCAACAACCCCATACTCATCACATGACTACTCCATCTTATGTACTGTACCCAATAGTAGCAAAGGTTACTATGTGAACATAGTGACGACGAAGTCGCTTTGCCGTTTGAGACAGAAGTACAGAGGATCAAGAAATGTCGTTTCTGTAAATGCGTACCATATTTATAATTTATCGTCCTCACTGATTCCGTATTTGCCAAAAGGAAATATTTTATAATTGACTTTTGTACATAATAAAGTTACTGTAATCTGTAAAAAAACCATTTTATTTCAAGTCCTGCATTGTGTAAATTAGTCCAAAACTGATAATGTTCATCATGTGTACCTACAGTTGTGTTGTGTAGTGTAGTAGGTAGTAGGCAGCTACCAAACAGGGAGGTACTACCGCCTGGGAAGATATTGGAAGCATAATGTGTTGTCTAATGGTAGATCTTGCTGCCATATGTGACCAAGTCCCATGTTGCTGATCTGACTTTCTGCCTCATTTATACATAATTGCAGTCTCAATTGTTTCTCTTACTTGACAACACAACACAACATATACGAGTACTGTTGGCAAGTACTGGGCTTGTACTGGCTTCTGAATGTATCTCAACCTGCTCCAGTGTTGGTCAATTCTTGTCTCGAAACAGCTCACATTCGGTGCCTTCACAACACACACTGACAGATTGTTCCAAGAGTTTACAACTCTCACTCTGAAAAGGTTGCCCTTCAGTTTTCTGGGCTTCTGGTTTCTTCAACCTTGAACTGCGACCCCTAGTGGGGCTAGCGTCCGCCAGCTCCAGGTAAGGGCACTCAACTGAGTAGTGCTCTTTGAGATGTTTATACACCTCAATTAGGTCGCCCCTTGCCTGCCTGTAGTATAAGCTAGGCAATTTCATGCGCTCTAATCTCTCAGAGGTGCTGAAGTGTAGGCACCAGTCTGGTGGCCCTCTGGACATTTTCAATCAACCGACAGTCGTAGCATATCTCGGGGACCAGCCCGGGTGACAGTACTCAAAACGGGGAAGCACCTCGCTAATGAAGATCGTTACGAGGGACGGACCGTCTAGATATCTGAACGTCCTTCCTACAAGACCTACTAGTTTTGTTGTCTGTCTGTCTCTGCCTGTATGCCTCTGTAAGTTGAGGATATGAACAAGTACTTGTGTATACTGTATGTGTCTACATGTTATCTTGGCACTTATACTGTTACCACCACAACAACAATACAACTCTGAACGGGTAGTGTATCAAGGAGTTTCCACACCACAACCGCATCCAGCCCACACCACCATGTACTGATCGCTCGCTATAACAACATTCATATTTCTACCCATTGTAAAAACTCCATTCCTTCCCTTCCCTCCCTCCCTTTTCCTTATCATTCACTTAACTTCTCCTCCCTCTCTTGCATTCCCATCCTCCCTTTCCTTTCCCTTCCCTTCCCTCCCTTCCCTTACCCTCCCCCCTCGCCTGGCAGGGCCCCTGCCATCCCTGGGAGGACCTCTGGGGGCGCCGCTGTCCCTGAGAGAGCCCCTGGGGGTGCCGCCAACCCTGGAGGGCCCCTGGGAGCGCTGCTGTCCCTGGCATGATGGCCCTCGGGGGCGCCATCACATCTAGCAGGGTCACTCGGGGCACCAACGCCCCTGAGAAGGCCCCTGGGGGCGCCGCCGTTCCCGGGAAGGCCCAGAGGGGGCTCCGCCGTTCCTGTTCCTGGGAGCGCTGCTGTCCCTGGGGGCGCCTCCGTCCCTGGGAGAGGCCCCGGGGGCTTTAGACTTACAATTTTTGTCATTTCGGCCAAAAAATGGATTTTATTCAAAATTTCATTATAGGTACTCCTGAATGTGCTGCTTAAGGATCTGTTAACCAAAATTTGATATCTTGATTATAACTTGTTCAAATGGCTTTTAGAAAATGTTCAAATGATTTTTAGAATATTTTAATTACTTTTGCAATGCTAATTACTCGCCACTTATGGGTTTTCGAGGTCATTTCTTGGTGCTTGTGTATTATTCTGGATGTGCTTAAATAGTTAGTTTTGTTGGTTTGTTGTTTTTTGTTTTGTGTTTTGTTTTGTTTTGTGGTGTGTTGTGTTTTTTTGTTGTGTTTTTTTTTGTGTTTGTTGGGGGTTTGGTGTTGTTTTTTGGTTTTGTTGGGCACATTAAATTTAGTTCAGAGAAAACGTATTTTGGCCAAAAACTTTAAGGCTTTAGACTTACAATTTTGTCATTTTCGGCCAAAAATGGATTTTGTTCAAAATTTCAGTATAGGTACTCCTGAATGTGCTGTTAAGGATCTGTTAACCAAAATTTGATATCTTGATTATAACTTGTTCAAATGGCTTTTAGAAAATGTTCAAATGATTTTTAGAATATTTATTACTTTTGGAATGCTAATTAGTCGCCACTTATGGGTTGAGGTCATTTCTTGGTGCTTGTATATTATTCTGGATGTACTTAAATAGTTAGGCACATTAAATTAGTTCAGAGAGAAAACGTATTTTGGCCAAAATCCTTTAAGGCTTTAGACTTACAATTTTTGTCATTTTCGCCAAAATGGATTTTGTTCAAAATTTCAATATAGGTACTCAGGGCTGTGGAGTCGAAGACAAACCGACTCCACCTCAAATTATGCTTGACTCCGACTCCTTGGCCTATTTTGTAACAACTATTTCTCATCCTAATTGTAATTTGTATGTTGTAACCTGCATA